TTCAGAGATTAAGAAACAATTACTATTGTTGGAGCTGACTTTAAAACACATCCCATCTGAGCTATTGTGCACACACCTAAATGGGATTTGGCAGGTGGATAAAAGATTTGCTGATTCCTGTTTGGGGGATTGCTTTAGACTTGCTGCTTCAATAGGCTTTCAAAGCAGGTTTGAGTCTTAGAGAACAAACTGAACCCTGGAATCCTTTCCTGGCACTGCAACTCCCCAAATGACAATTACAATAAGCCAAGGCTAACGCAGGTTCTAACTGCGCGAGGAACAGCTGCTGTGTGGTGTTGTAGAAGCTTAAAGGGGAAAATGCTTTAGGGGAGAAAAATTGGCTGTTGATGTGTCTTCAAACACCCGAGAAGTTTCTGTAAATAACAGCACATATTAGCTTGACTGCGCGTGATCTAGATGAATCACTTGCCAATTATTTGCTCCTTCATTCAGTGAAGGGCTTTGCTTTCATTGTGCCATCCAGTGAGAATATAGATATCTGGAATAGGTAGGCACCGTTAGATGATGTGTGATTTGTCAGTTTAGAAACTGTTGTCTACCCGGGACTAGCTGGGTGTCTGAAATTTTGCTTTGGTTATTGTAAATAGCATATCCTGAGTCAAGGAGCACTTGGCTCTTGGGGATAAACGTTTCTACCCAAAGGACCAAGATTGGAAAGATAAAATGTATTTCTAAGGTCACCTCATGAAGAGATGTATGAAACATCTTAAGAGACAAGGATATGGGGCGCCTAGGTGGGTCAGTTGGTTAAGCAACAGCCTTCGGCTCAGGTCATGATCCTGGAGTCCCGGGCTGGAGTCCCGCATTGGGCTCCCTGCTTGGCAGGGAGTCTGCTTCTCCCTCTGACCCTCCCTCTTCTCTTATTCTCTCTCTCATTCTCTCTCTCAAATAAACAAATAAAAACCTAAAAAAATATATATGTTTAAAACAAAAAAAAAGAGACAAGGAAATGTTACACAGGTTAATTGAATAGAATTGTAGAATGTCCTTTTAGAGTCCATCTTTTTCATTTCAGGGATGAGGCCACTCAGCTACCCAGAGACGAGAACAAAGCTTTCTTCCATCATAGTCCAGTATGCCTTTCCCTTCCCCCACCTGCCAATTAGCGTAAGCAGACAGTCACAGGACTGGTTCTGGACCCAAGGAGAGGTCAGGGTGGCTTGGAAATCAATAATCAGGCACAGGGACTGTCCCCCAGGAGCAAGTCTGATCTTAGACCTAACACAGTGGCATGACCTTTATATTTTGTCTTCCCTCAAGCACCCTCAAGGTGTTCAGCATCCAAGTTCTTAATAGAGTTTCAGAGACAGTGAGAAGGTCTGTATCAGAGCCTTAAGAAAAATAACATGTATTCATTCACTATTGGCTCAGACCCTCACGCGGAGGCCACTCCATTCAGCTCAAAGGCATCAGTGGCTAGCTGCACAGCCTAAGAGGGGTCACGGCCTGTCTCATCCGCTTACTGAGTCTCACACAAACCTCTCCCGGCTTCTGCTGTATTTCCTGAAGGGTTTCAGGAGCATCAAATACTTCCCCATGGACTAGGTCAGAGCCAGCAAGCTTTTACAGAAAGCCATCTCTCTCTCTCTCGGGGCTTCCCACTCATTACTGACCAAACAGTGGACTTCAGTGTGGGATGAGATAATCTGCCTGTTTGCATCTCTCCCTCCCAAATCCCAGTCTCTTAAGGCTGAAATTGTTTTCTTAGGTCGGACACAGAGAGTGACTTTTAAAGCTCACGTTCCTTTACAGCATGACTGTGGGAAAGGATAGATGCTCCATACACTCTGGACAGGATTAAGAAGTTTCATTTAATGTATTTGTTGGAATCAGAGAAAGCGCCAAAGGCAGTACGAGACAGGGAGTGGCGTGGGGCACGAGAAAGTGGTTGCCGTGTGGCCATCAGGGAATAGGGAGTGTAAAAAGCTTCTTGTACACATCACCTCATCTATAAAAACCAGAACCACTTGGCATCTCTCTAAGTAACAAATGGATCTAAGGGCTGTAGAGAAGAGTTGTTGGCAGGATATGGTCCCCAGGGCTACGATATTTTCAGACTGTGTGCCTTTCCCTATAATGCATAGATCATGGATAACAGAGCTCTGCTCACATATCTTGTTTTACCTGAAGACTAAATTTTGCAGGTTCTGGTTTGTCTGACAATCACCATTTCTGGGAATAAGAGAATAAATTTGGATGGTTGAGGCAAGAAGAAGCTAAATTTTCTTTTGAGCTACATGGAGGAGTAAAGAGGTGTAAAGAAGTATTAAGACAAACAAGCATGGAGGAGAGCATCATGATAGAGGAGACGCCCAGGCAACTCAGAGTTGCTTGGGCAGGCCCCTCTTTCAATTTTTAGGACTTTGGCTTTCAGTGGAAACGTCTGTTGTATACAAACAAGTGAAAATGGACCTGCAGGTCTGAAACAGTTCTGTGTCTGAAACTCACTGTAAACATGCACCTTATACCGCAGAGCACATAGCAAGATTCCTACAAACTCTAGCTGATTGGTTTTTGATCCCAAATCAATTTCCACCAGAACACTGAATTCACTGATGGGCTAATAAATCTGCAGGAAGAAGGAACCTTCAGCTGTGGTTGCAGCCACCAAAAAACGAACAAACAAACAAAAAACGGAGTTTATTTTTAACTGGTTTGTCCCAGGGTGAACTGGTTTTTCTGTCTTGTTTCTCTCTTTGAAATATGGAGGCAGCAGCTTCACTTGGTGCCACAGACACTGTCTACAAAATAAAAAGTCTCCATTTCCAGTCCACTCCATTAGCCAAAGTAAACTGTCTTCCGTGATTCACCCTTGAGTGCATGAGGACTCTGCGTCCCTCCCCAGATAGAGAAAACAAAAAACAAATAAGCAAACCCTTACCAGCTGAGAAGACAGGAACAACAGGCAAAACTTCAAAATCCTTTTTTTTTTTTCAGTCCTGAAACCTATCAGCATTCAAAAAACCATGTGACGTCATAATTCCTGATGAGATTTACACTGAGAGTTAAATAGACACTTAACAGTAGAGAGGATGTCAAAGGACACTCAAACCTTTTGATCCCAATCTTTGAGTCAAACGACCGTGTTTGCACCAGTTGTGTTTCTTCCTGAGTACATGAGACATCTTATTGTTAATTAATTGTTCTCAGTCTTCTGTCTGCTATTGTGAAGTCTTCCGTTGCTATGGCATGGTAGAGGATCCTTTATATTTTTGAAAATATTTAGGATCCCACCCCAAGTGTCAGTATGAACTGCTCCACACTTCTTATCAAGTTGAAGCCTGGAGTTGTTGTATTCTTTGGGTTATTTTCACAGTCACGGTTTTCTAGGCTCTTCTTGCTATCAGTGTTCAACTTCTAAAGTCCAAAATGCTCTTAGCACGAGCTGTAGCTCTACCCCAGCCCAGCCTTCCCTGAGTGGGTTTAACATACTCACCCCCGGCATTCAGGACCTTGGCTAACTCCTCTGAGCCTTTTTGCCTGGCCTGGGATTGGTAACTCCGGATTAAAAAGCAGGCCAAATCTTGCTTTTAATTTCACCATTGCTCTGGAAAATGTAATACGGCAAAGATAACGTATGTCATGTTTTAGCAACAGTGTTTTTAATTCTCCCAGGGAGAATTAGCATCCTTACATACTTTAGCAGCTACTTTTTCTCACATTTATTCATTAATTATCTATTTTGGAGCAGCACCCCGACGCCTTCTTGCTGACGTTGGTCAGGGGAAAGATGCCCTCCCTGAAGGCTGGCCAAGCCATCTCTTCCTCTCATTAGCGGTGTAACCCTGTGTTCCCGCTGGAGCCCAGCACGGAAGTGTCATCTTCCCGTGGGGGGCCTCCTGTTGTCCCGCCTGGCTCAGAGAGCTGAGCCTAAATGAAATATAAAATATTAACTGTTAGAGAAAACAAAGGATGCCGCCTCCAGCATGGCTCCTGTGCCTGAGGCCTGGCCACGTCTCACTAGTCCCTAGGCCTCTCCTTCTCACCCGCACCCTCACTCGTCTATGAGATCCACGAGTTGAACTGCAGCTCTCCAAAATGAATTCCCCCCCGCCCGTAACCCGACTCTTCAGGACCACGCGTTCCCTTCTGCCCGGAGCTCAGAATGACTACCAGGAAGCCAGGAGCAAAACACTTAAATGTTGCATTTATTAAGGAAATGTTAAATAAGAAAAAAAAAAAAAAAGTCAAACCGGTGTCATGAACGTCAAGAGCACTTCTGTGGCGTAAACCGTGCAGTCGTGAGCTACAAGTTCTATTCCAAGTCTTTGCCCCGGGGCTAATTAGGGCGTCAGCCTCCTCCCCCCCACCCCCCGCCCTACCACCCCCTAGTTGGAAATGCAATAAAAGAAACAAATCACCCGTTCAGCATTCGCAGGCTTTCCCCTCCCCCCACCCCTTCTCCCTGGATAACAAAACTCTAACCCCAGGCAGGCAAATAGGCCACTAGGGCAGCAAAGGACTTATCAAATATGTGTATTCAAGCAAACAAACACAAAATCCCTTAAAACAGCACAGTTACAATCAATCAAAGGTATTTATAGTCTCTCGCGCCAGGGCTGGGAGGAGCGGGAGATAATGGGCGCGAATCCGGACACTGATTTCTGTGTCCGCCTTAGTTCTGTTGCGTGGCGTGTACACCGGTCACTTTTCGGGCCACCAGGCAATCGGTGCCGCTGGGTCTCTCCCCTGCCCGCCCGCTCCACCTGCCCCGAGAGCGTGGCCCACCTGCGGGTGGAGAAGGGCCGTCGCCGGATCGGTCTCCCCGCATCCACGCCGGCGGCAGCTTCCAAAGTTCTGCGCCCTAATTGCCCTCTTCTTGCCACTTGCTGCTGAGTCCAGTCGGGGCCCTCTCCTCCTACTGCCAGGAATGGGGGCTTTCTGAGGGCGAGCGAGAAACGGGTCGCTTCATCCCGAAAGGCAAAAGTCGAGAGAAATGATTGACTCCGACAGGTTTGCTTCGCCCGGTCTCGGATGATGAGGGGGCGCGGCCCGGCCGGCTAAGTAGGGAGGCGTTGGGGCGGCTGCCGCGGCGGCGGGAGGGCCGGTCAGTAGGGCCCCACGACCACCGCTTCCACCTCTTTAGACGGTCTCCGGTCTTTCACCAGGAAGTTGATCATGCCCTCGGACTTGATGAGGAGGTTGCAGCCGAGGAAAAAGATGCCGAAGACCACGGTCAGGGAGAGCACGCACATGACCGCGATCTGCACCACGCGCATGATGTACAGGCTGCGCTCGTCCGGGCCGCCCTCGGCGAAGCCGTCGTCGGTCACCACCGACGCCTGGGTGCAGCAGCGCACGGCGCGCTCCAGCGCCTCGCTGCTGTTGGCCAGGAGCAGGCCGGCCACATCGGTCTGGTTGTCCAGCGCCGGGTTCATCGCGGGAGGCGGCGGGCGCCCGGGGAGGCGCGGGTCCGAGGGGTGGGAAGGCGGCGGACGCGGATCCGGAGCTGAGCGCTCACTTGGAGACTTGGCGCGCGCGGGGGCTGCTCGCTCTCTCCTTTCCCAAGTCCCCGGGTCGTGGGACTTCCCCAGGAGCCTTTCCGACACGCGCCGCAGCCTGGCTGGTCTGCGCCGTCTGCTCCTGCCAGGGCGGTGCTGGTTCCCGGCGCTCGCTCGACTGGGGGCTGTTGGAACTTGGCGGGGCTGGGCCAGCGGGGCCGTGGGAGGGGAGGCGCAGCGGCGGCGGCGGCCGGGCGGCTGCTCTGAGCGAACAGCGGCCCCTTCCGGCCGCGCCACCGCTCCGCGCCCGCGGCGGTTTGGAGGTGGGGGAAGCAAAGGAGCGAACCTCTTCCTTCCTCCTGCCTTTCTTGCTTCGCCTCTTTTTCACCTCCAAATACTAGGCAGAAGTCTGTACCTTTCTGTACCTTTCTGGCTAGATGGATGATTAAAGAGCTTCAGATGGAGGAGAGGTTGCGATCAGCTGAAAGTTTCCAAAGAACTGGGTCACACCAGCTCTGCGTGTCTCTTGCCTCCCGCCCCTCTCACCTCTGGGTGGATGAAAGTGGCGATGAATCGCAGGTGCCAGATGGTGCTGGGCGAATGCACGGGCCCGCCACATGTGTCTGATTCCGTCTTCCCTGCGACGGATTTCTGGTGGAGTAGGGATGATCTGGGAGTTAGTTTGTTTAAGTATGGATTTTAGAAAGAAAGAAAGCAGGGAAGGAGGGAAAGAAGGAAGTAGAAATAGGAGGGAGGAAGGAAAGAGGAAAAGGAGGAAGGAAGCCATTGGAAAATAGAATAAGGCAGGTTTTAGAGTGATTTTTGAGGCGAAGGAAGGGAGGGGGTAGTAAGGGGAAAGATATGCTCTTCTGAGGACTTTGTGTGGGAATGGTTGCCAGAGGCAAGATCACCTCTCCCATAAGGGTGGGAGGAGGGACAGAGTGGGCACTCTTATAATCTTGGTTGCAGATGAGTTTTTGGAGGTGCTTCCAGTGTTTTTCTCGGTTGGCAGTATATCAGTCGTTTTATGGCTCATCAATATCCATCACCTAGAACACCGGCCAACTGCGGCAAGCTCTCCCCACTATCCATAAACTGATGTATCGCATCGTAGTCATTTCGAACAAAGCTACAGATGTTTCAGGGGCCTGAGACTTCAGCCCATTATGATTTTGCTACAGGCTTCAGGAAAATGTTATAAACTTGTCAGATTGTTTCTTAAGCTCCAGAAGAACTCTTCTGTTGTTGTGTTTTGTTTTGTATTTCCCTTTTCTAATTCCTTTTTCCGCTCACCTTCCTCCTTCCCCTCTCCCTTACTCACTTCCTTTCTTCTTTCAACTGTATAAGGCGGAAACCAGTAACCTGACGCTCAGTCCAAACTTTTGGTAGAATACATTTACATTTCTGTTAAAGCATAATAGCTGTCTTGACATTTTCCCTTCTTTTCTCAATTCCATTCTTTTTGCTTGTTAAACGCTCTTGTTTCTCTCCCCAAACATCATTTATTCCATGTTGACAGATTTCCTTATTTTTTCTTACTACTTCATGACCACCATAACATAGAATGAACTATCTCCCGCAGTTAAGAGTTTTCAGTTTTTGGATGTTGATTATATATGAGCTTCAATAAGCCTAGATCCTTCTAAATAGCTATTTTTATTTCAGGTGTAGTTTCATAGCTGAAAATCTATATTTCTATCTATCTATAATAGATAGAAATATATCTATCTATAGATATATAGATAATCTATAATTCACCTGGTTTATGGCTCTAGTTTCTCATGATTTCATTAGCCTTGAGAAATGCTCCACTCCCAACAATTTCTTCTTTGGAAGAATGTATTATTAGGTGATTGGAAAAAACCTATTTAAATCTCACTATACAGTCAGTCTATCTTAGTTAAGATGAGTGATACTTAACAATAAAACAATGTATATGTGAAAAAATTACAGAAGAATTTAAGACATTATAAAGCAATACTATAATGAATTGTAAAGGCAAGTAGTAGAAATTTAGAAGAGCAAAAGGTAGAGAACAGAGGTCAACTTCCAGGGATGTTAACTTGCATAGGGTTGTATGTTTAGTAGAAGTTGAGTGAAATGGGTAGAGCTAGATAGTTCCTTCTTTACGTGACAAAACCAAATAGAATCATACAGCATATTTGTGAGGTCCAACATGGTAGGAGTTATAAAAAATGCCTTAAAATATCAATTGAATCATTATGAGGATTTGAGTGTGCTTATTGATATTAACTGTATTACCGTTTTAGTTAAAAACCAGTGTAAAAATGATCAAATCTCACAGTTCGGTGGGGGTTTGATATCATCAAACCTTTAGATTTGGGGATCACATTCTTACAAGAAATAACTTTCTTTTCTTTGGGCATTATCTACTAACCAGCTGCAAAATTGTGAGTAAGAGGAAAATAGTTGTTCCCACCAGTTAGTTCATCTTTGGGAATGTGGTTCTGTTTCCTTCATCTCCCTACTATCCTGCACACTCTGATTTTGTTGAATAAAATTATTTGCAGTATTTAGATGAAAACTACCTAAAACCTACTGGAAATATATATATATAAAATTATTAGGGAATCTAAGGGAATCCAGCTAGGCTGCTAGATACCGTTTTTTCTGCAGAAACTTATTTATCTTTCCATTTTGTGTTTTGAGTGAATATTTTTCTCTCAGCTTTACTCCTGTTATTCAGTTTCCTAGGAAAATCTTACAAATGTGGGGAGAAAAATCTTTCAAAAAGTGTGGATATAGAAAAACTTAATTTCTAGAAAAATAGATGGTGATATGAAATATTCACTTCAAATAAAAAGTTTTGGTACATAGAAAGACTCACTGTTATATTTATTTAACTAGTGCCCTCTTCTACTTCACCGGAAAAAGATTTGATTTTCAAAAAGTTAAATGTTCAGCACTTCACAATATACATGTTATACAAGGAAAGAAACGTGTTTATTCTCTCTAGAAAACATACCTATGACATATAGTAAGTTCTACAAAAATATTCTAGACTTATATTGATGGGCAGCTATCATCAGTAGTCACTAGATCTATAGACTGAATTGTCTCAATGTAGGACCAGACATTTTCAATGTCAAAAGCCTTTTCCTAGGTGCCTGCCTGGGTGGCTCAGTGGGTTAAAGCCTCTGCCTTCAGCTCAGGTCATGATCCCAGGGTCCTGGGATCGAGCCCCAAATTGGGCTCTCTACTCAGCAGGGAGCCTGCTTCCTCCTCTCTCTCTGCCTGCTTCTCTGCCTACTTGTGATCTCTGTCTATCAATTAAATAAATAAAGTCTTTAAAAAAGAAAAAAGCCTTTTCCTTTTTGTTTTCTATCTGCGTATATTATGAAAATAATAAGCAGACATTTTTCAGAAGAGCATATCAGACATAGAAAGGATTTTTGCTATTTGGGGACAAGGTTTTATACAAAATAAATTACATTATATGAGGAGTAAGAGCAAGCACTCATGTTCATTCATAACAGTAGACTTGGCACCTCGAACATAAGAAGCAAGCCAGATATAAGCAAAATATGTCCTCAAACCACAAGAATAGATATCATGAGAGCCAAATACCTAGAATCATATATTTTTACCCTTAGGATGACTCTCCAAATTCTCTCTCAAACCTTCTCAAACTTTTCACACAGTTTTAAACCACCCTTCCTTCCTTCCTTTCTTTCTTTTGTTCTTAAAGGATTTTATTTATTTATTTGACAGAGAGAGAGAGAGAGCACAAGCAGGGGGAATGAGGAGGGAGAAGCTGGTTCCCAGCTGAGTGGTGGGGGAGAGGGGTTGCTACACAAGGCTCTATGCAGGACTCTACCCCAGGATCCCGGGATCATGACCTGAGCCAGAGGCAGATGCTTAACTGATTAAACTACCCAAGTGCCCCTTAACTCTTTCTTTTTCTGTTTTTCTTAATAACAGGATGTCAGTATCAGCACATGGATAGAGAAGAGAAAATGACTAGAGGTAGGTACTCTGACGACACAAGGAGTAACACCAGAAAGAAAAGCAAAATAAAACATTGAACAACACCAACAATTTTTCTAAGAGTCTACAGTATTAGTTTGGGGACATTTAATATAGAGACAAACATTCTCAGTGGCTAGGAGTCTCACTAAATGTCTAAAGGAAAGGACTTTGAATCCGGCCATCTTCACTAACTAGCCGTGTGATCTTGGAGAAGTGTCTTTACCTCTGTGTACCTCATTTATTTTTCGGTGAAATGGAGATGATACTTTTCAGGATTCTGAAAGAATTGTTTCTCATCTGTGGAAAAAACTGAGGATAGCGTCTAGCTCAGTGCAATATCTCAAAGATATATTGTAATAGCTTCTGAGGAGGCATCAATGTGTATAAGTCACTATAAGAAAAACTTCAAAGTTTGTTTAATATTTCCCTTTCGAAGGCTGGAAATGAGTGATAGATTTTAGAAAGATTTCCACATGAAGTAATTGGTCTTGTTAAGTAAAGAAATTGTAAGGATGTGGAGGAATTAGAACTCTTGTAAATTGCTGGTGGGAATGTAAAATTGTACAACCTCCATGGAAAACAGTATGGCATTTCCTCAAAAACTTAAACACAGAATTGCTGTGTGATTCAGCAATTTCATTTCTAGGTATATGCCCCCAAAACTGAAGGCAGGGACTTGAACAAGTATTTGTATACGAATGTTCATAGCAGTATTATTCTCAGTATTCAAAAGGTAGAAACAACCCAGATGTCCATCAATGGATGAAGGGATTAAAAACAAAAAAGTGATATATGTACATGCAAAAAAACAATGAAATTCTGGTATGAGCTACAACACAGATGAACTTTGAAGAAATTATGCCAGATGAAATAAGCCAGACACAAAGGACAAATATTGTATGATTCCATTTATATTAGATACCTAGAATAGTCAACTTTATAGAGAC